GATGCACCCAGGGTCCAGTCCCCACCTTCTCCTTTGGGATCACTGAAGACTACATCTCCCAGCCTCCCTTGCAGCGAGAGGTTATTTGCAGACAATTTAAACAGTGTGCACAGCATTAACCTCCAAAGATGCAGACAGTCTACCTTTTCCGTTCCTGTTTTGTTGTTGTTGTTTGTTTTGTTTTTTGAGACAGAGTTTTTCTGTAGCTTTGGAGCCTGTCCTGACATTCGCTCTGTAGACCAGGCTGGCCTCGAACTCACAGAAATCCTCCTGCCTCTGTCTCGAAAGGGCTGGGATTAAAGGTGTGCGTCACCACCGCCCCCTCCGATTTCTGGTTTTGCTAGATGACGGTCAGGGAGGCAGAAGCTGGGTGCTCAGTGCGTGCCCGAAGATGCAGTTAGTAGCTGAGAATGACAGCCTGGGCCCTGACTCATTTTGGAGTCTGGAGTCATCAGACACCGGAGCTGGGACTTGTCTGTCAGTTAAACTGGCATTATGGGAGCCTAGCAACAGCCACTGCAAATACCCAAGGATTCTGAACCCTTCTGATGTTCATTTTTTGAGTCCCAGAATTCTTTCTTCCTTGATGTACACATTCTCTGTGGTGGAAAGGGACCAGAGAGGTGAGTCAGTTGCCTAAGGTCACACAGCCAAGCCATCACCTGCAAACTAGGCCAGTGACTGCCCGGATCTGGTGGCATGGTGCCCAGTGCTTAAAGCGCTGGCCTGCATGAGAAGGCCCCGGTTCCGACCCCAGCACTGATGAAAAACAGCAATGTTGGCACTAGGGCGGGCGTGGAGGCAGGAGGATTAGGAGTTCAGGGTCATCTTCCGCTACACAGTGAGCTTAAGGCCAGCCTGGGCTGCATAAGACCTTTTCTGAAAATAAAATGAAGCAATTTTTCCTAGCGGATCCATTTTTTCAGACATAGTGTTAATTCCACGTTATTAAGCCAAATATTGTGTGCCAAGTCCTACACAGAGGAGCCAGGCCCAGGATTCGCGGACTCAGTAGAGACCCGCAATCAGATGTGCGGCAAGGGGACAGCCAGGATGTAGAGCCAGTCAGCTATGGGCAGAGCATCACGGGAAGGAGGGGGAGCTGCAGGCGGCACAGGAGTGAGGTGGGGACCGGTGCCGTCCTGTCCCCCTAGGCGGGGAGGGCAGCCAAAAGCCCGACTGAGGAGCCCCGTGGGGACCGCGCTATTTTTAGCAACTGCTCCTCAGGACGCCTAATCGCTCGGGCCTGGACCCTGCCAGGTTACCATGGAAACGCTGGGTACCGGTGCGTCCCGACGTCCCTGTCTGCAGCCTCCAACCCCGGGTCCCAACCTGGGACGGCACCGGCCCCCCCCCAAGCTGCGCAGCCCAGGTGTGGCTTGGGCTCTGTCTGAGAAGCGGAGACTCAGCTGCCCCGTGTGCACTCCAGCTGCCCCGTGTGCACAGAGCCGAGTCCCCAAACTTCCCAGCTGCTCATGTGCGACCCCAGGCTGGACCTTGGGCTTGAAATCTAGCCAGCCAGAGGCGAACCACCAACATGGCTCTCCCATCTCTCAGTCCCGAGAGACAGGACTGATTTCAGACAAGCTTGGACTGTGTGCCAGTCGGTGCCAAAAGTGTCTTTGCAATTTATTTATAATTGCTTATTTTGGGAGAGGGTCTGTCTACATAGTCCAGGCTGTCCTGGAGCTCGCTGGATAGACCAGACTGGCTTCAAACTCACAGAGATCCTCCTGCCTCTACCTCCAGAGTGCTGGGATTAAAGGTGTGCGCCACCACCAGGCCCTGCATAGCTTTTCACTTTTATGGAGCTGACAGACAGCTCGTTTAGGAACACGGCTCCCCCCTGTTGTTATTTTGTAAATGTTTAAAAATTAGAAAGAAGGAAAAGGAAGGGCTGCGAGATGGGAATCGGACAGCCCGGATGTAGCACGAGCCGTGGAGTGTACAAGCAAATAGTTTATTATAGCGGCGGGAGAGCAAAGGGGGGACACAGACATGAAAAACAAGGAGGGGAGAGAGAAGGGGGTAAGAGAGGAGTGAAGAAGCATGAGAGAGAGAGAGAAGAGTGAGAGGGTAAATGGCGAGGTCTGTCCTTTAAAGGGGTCCTTTGCACCTGCTTGCAAACTGGTTCTCATGGAACTCTGGGCTGACCAGAGAACTGCCTGAGTGCATTCTGCAGGGTGACAGGGGCAGGCCAATATGATGCCTGAACCTTTCACCCCACCCCCACCCCCAATCCGGTGACTCCAGCTTCCTGGATCCGATGCCCTCTTCTGGCTGCCATGTGCAACTACACCCACCGTGCACAAACCCACTCACACACAGACACACCCGTGATCTACACTAAGTAAATCATCTACATGCCGACGATTTATTGTATGTGCATGTGAGGTCACACGGTGTCTGTCCTGTCCCTGGCTCCTCAGGTCTCCTGCAGCCTCCGGTAAGCTGATGCGGTAACCATTGCTGACACAGTGCCCACTCCCCTGCCATCCCAAGGTCCTCTCCCCATCCCATGGCCTGCCGACCCACCTGTATGTGCAACAAACCGGTCACATGGCCACACTGGGGTGCATATAGGAGGGGGGAAATGTACCCCTCAGCTCACAGCAGTGTCCCCAGCCCCCCATGTCCCTGAAAGGATGCCTCTCAGGCGGAGGGAACCCCAGAGCAAGTGTAGGACACAAGCCTCCACCTGGCAGCCACCCCCAAGCACGCTGGCCAGGAGCAGAGGTTCCAGGTCACCACCCCCCTCCCTACAGCTGTCATTATCTCAGGATGCATTAAACATGAGGTCTGTCTGTGCAGTGTCTGGGATACTGTAGTTGTCCCCAGACAACTGGCAGAGGACAGGCTTCGCAGGAGCTTTGGGTGGGGACATAGTGGGGACACGGGGGGGGGGGGCAGGGTTTCTGGGGCCAGAGCATCCTCATTTTCTAGGTATTTCATTACCATGTGTGTGGAGGCCAGGGGAAGACCTATAAGAGTTGGGTCTCCTTCCACAATGCCAGCCGGGGATCAGACTGAGGCTATCAGGCTGGGCGGCAAGTCCTCTCTGAGCCATCTTGCCAGACCCTGGTGTGTCTCAGACAGGTGGCTATGTGCATGTCCTCAGAGTGGCCTGAGGCCTTGGAAGGCTGAGGACTCTGGTGACACTGATGGCTGTGGGAATCTGTGCCAAGGGCACCCTCAGGGTGCAGAGCCTGGGGCTCAACCCACAGACTTCTGGCCCCCTTGAAGACTTTATGAGGTAAATAAATTTGAGAATATGAACATTTAAATGAGTATGTAACAGGTAAGAGGCTATCTACACAGGCTGGCTGTCACGGCAACGGGATCAGGCTCTTAATTTTTTATTATGTTTTTAATTCATGTATTTATTGATGCCTCTGTGTGTGTGTGAGTGAGTGTGTGTGTGAGAGAGAGAGAGAGAGAGAGAGACAGAAACCAGTAATCAGGTCAAGGTGCCTCAGTTTCCCCATCTGCACCATGTCAGGGATGGGGTTGTGATTCAGCAAGCAAGGAAGTTGAGATGGTGTGGCCCCAGCTTGCCCTCTGCCTCAGTGGCTGGCCTGTAAAATGGAGTGGGGGAGAAAGGTCTGTACCCCGGCCACAGAGGGTACTTCATGTGTCTAGGATCCCAGCCCCACATACTCTCTGGACCCAGGGCTGCTGTGGTTCCAGCATGGGGCATCCCTGGCTGAATGTGGGCCTGAGACCAAACGCCTCCCTGGCCCACTCTCAACTTTTAAACAATCTCAGGTTCAAAGCCACCCTGTTCAGAAACTTAGATCCTGGAGTTGGGCAAGTTCTTGAAAATAGGGTGACCACGGCCCCCTGCTCCTGTCAGGATGACATAAACTAAAGAAAGCGATTGACCACTGAGTGCAAACTCACAGATGAACTCACAGCAATGGCTCAGAGTGGCGGCTCAGCTGGGGCTTGTGACCTGACCCCTGCAGGCCGACCTCTGACCTCTCCTCCCTCCATGCCACCTTGAACAAGAACTTGCTTTCCTGGAAAGAGATGGGGAAGAAAAGCCAGAGGGAAGGGATGGGTGATGGGCAGGGGGTAACAGGGCAGATGGGAGCCCAGCGATTAACCTGTGACCTTCCGGTGTCCTACGTGGGGGTGTGGGAGCCTCTAGCAGGCTAGACAATTGTGCCCCAGGGCCTTGGCATACGCTGAGTTCACCGTTTTCCCTTCCAGATATTTTCCCCAGATCCTTCTTTGCTCTTCCCTGTGCACACCAGATATGCGAGACACAAGTTTGACTCTCTTTGAAACAGAGTCTCAGACATCACAGGCTGACCCGGAACTCAATATGTAGACCAGTTGACCTCAAACTTACAGTGACCCACTTGCTTCTGCCTTCCGAGTGCTGGGACTAAAGGTGTGCACCAGCATGCCCCTGCCTCTAATTATTATTTTTTTTGTTTTTGTTTTGTTTTGTTTTGTTTTTTCGAGACAGGGTTCCTCTGTATTGTTTTGGAAGCTGTCCTGGAACTCACTCTGTAGACCAGCCAGGCTGGCCTCGAACTCACAGAGATCCACCTGCCTCTGCCTCCCGAGTGCTGGGATTAAAGGCATGCGTCACCAACACCTGGCTGCCTCTAAATTCTTATAACTCAGACTGACATTTAACCAGAGCCCCCCCCCCAATGAGGATACAGAGGTTCAGAGAGGAGAAGTGATTTCCCTAAGGCAGCCTAGCCTCCACAAATGCCCAGTGGAGACAGCGGCCTGGGCTCTGTCAAGCCAGTGCAAATTCTGAATTCTCCCCATTTATCACAGAGCAAGAGTGCTTCGAATGCCAACCTGACCCAGATGGAACCAGAGCGAATGGGACACAGGAACAGGAGCAAGATGTGCACCCCACACCCCCTACTGCCTGCTTCCTGAATGCAGCCAAGCACAGGCTGCAGGGGAAACACATCCTGGATGAATTACACTGCAGTAAATAAATAGATACATAAATAAATGCATGGAAACAAAAGTTGAAAAATTACAGCCACACTGTGGCACGCACCTTTAATCCCAGCAAAGGTAGGCAGGTCTCTGTGAGTTCAAGGCCAGCCTGATCTACAGAGAGAGTTCCAGGACAGCCTCCAAAGCTATAGAGAAACCTGTCTCGGGAAAAAACAAAACAAAACAAAACAAAACAAAAAGGTTTTAACTAAGGGAACATGAATCATTTGGGAACCTCCCCCAAAGAGTGCTTTTAAGTTACAGGATGAAAGGCCAGGCTTGGGATCCCCACAGTCACGATCCTGAAGCAGAATTGTTACAGTTTGAGGCTAGCTTGGGCTACAGTTACAAACCTGTCTCAAAAACAGAAACACAAGTAAAAAATAAACACAAAGGAAAAGAAAAATGCGAAGGGCGGGGCTGGGGTTAAAGAGCCAAGCAAAGTGTGCAAAGGTCCTGTGGCCCCAAGAAGAGGCTCAGTGTGGGAGGACCAGCAAGATTTAGCTCAGGCAGAAGAGTGAGGCTTAGGCTAGATGTCACTCAAGGTTAGGTCCCGCCTACAAACCTCAAGGAGAGGTGGGGGTGGCCTCCAAAAAGGGTCTCCACCCTGACCACGCCCCCACCCCTCACTGGGGGGTCTGGGCGGGGCTCCACCCTGACCACGCCCCCAGCACTCTAGTTTTTGCAAACTGCCTATGATACTCAGACATGGAAACAGACAGAAACGTGTGGACAGGCCACACTGTCTCTGGCAGCCCAGCTGGGTTTCCAGCAAGTGCTCCAGAGGGAGCGTCATGGGATCTTCCCCCTCCCACGCCGAATGACAGGTCGTAGCGTGGGTGGGCTCCACGGCGGGAGTCTGCCCCTCCCTGGATGCCACAGGCTTCCGTGAGGCTGGAGAGGCTGCCAAGTCTCACCGAAACCTCCTGCCTCCGCCTCTGCCGGGGCTTGCTGGCTGGGTGGGGCCTGAGGCCCGCCAAGCCCTGGCAAACGGGTGGGCAGCTGGCTGGGTCACCAGGAGTCGTGGGGGAGGCCAGTGCGAAGACGCGGGGCAGGAAGCTGTCACTGCAGTCACCTGCTCCGTTTTCAGTCTTTTATTGATACACGTTCAAAATGCCCCCTGGACCAAGAGCCCAAGCTGGATGTCCTTGGAGCTCCTGCGCTGAGTTCCCAGAGATGGAATGAGTCTGACACCACCTGGTCTCATGACTCAGGCCTAGGACAGGAGCATAGCCCGGCCCAGAGGGAACTGGAGGCTATTATTGGAGCGTCAAGAATGGCTGTGTAAAAATGGAGCACTGAAAGTAGGCCTTTGTAGGATAAATAGGAGTTTGTTTAAAAAAAAAAAAAAAAAAGGCCGAGGGGCCTGTGGCCAGAATTCAGAGACCTCAGGAGGCACAGGGTGAGCTTGTGGGCCGCGCATGCGCAGCAGCCTGACCCTCGACCACACCTCCCGGAGTTAATTGTAAGCCAGCTCAGGCCTGGCGCCTCCTCAGCCGTCACTTTTCTCTGTGCGTCACGAGTTCTATCCACTGTGGCTTCTGATGACTGTTGGAGAGAGGACACATGCTTTCCACACTGTGGCTTTGGGATCTCAGGCCTGACCGGATGCCTCCGTGGGCCTTGGTTCTACAAAAACTGGATGCAGGCGGCCAATCATGCTGTTTACATCCATTTCAGGCTGGGAGGCCTTGGACCAAAGGCTGGAAGGGAAGGAGGGAGGGAAGGAGGAGGAGGGCAGGGGAGGGAAGGCCGCAGGACGGACCGGCACCAGGGGACAGGTCCTACATTATTATTTCTGAACACGCCAGTGCTGTCGGCTTAAGGAATGAGTGGTGATTTGCATGCAATTTGCATTCAATTTCCATAGTGTTTGTTAAATGTCAAAATGCTTTCTCTTACCCCCCCCAGTTGCAGCCCTCCCCCCTGCGCCAGCCATCCACGGGGCTGAGGCCAAGGATCCTCACTAGGGTGGCAGCTTCCCCTACAGCTGAGCGATGGAGATTGGGGAGGCAGAGAGGGGCCCAGACCCCCAGGGCCTGGCACAACCGCACATGCCCAGCAACCCAGCTCCCCAAGGCCACGATCCAATCCCCACCTGCCCAGCTCTGCACCCTGAGGCTGTACGACTCTTAATTAAAACATTATTTCCTTCTGGGCTCACCATGCAGTACAAAGCACCAGGGGCCCACGAGGGCCCAGTCCAGCACCCCAACACTGGGGCTGTGCGGCAGAGTCCACAGCAAGCTGCAGCTCACCAAGGCCCCCCAGATCAGTCTCCTTAGTCAGCGCCCCAGAAGATCCTGGAGCCAGGGCTGTTCACAGCTGGGGCCCTGTGGGTCACCAAAGAAGGAACGGTGCCTGTTGACTGGAGGGCCTCCTGGATGAGGAGACAGCAGAAGATCCAGGCTGTGGAGGCTCCCGGGGAGGGTCCCAAGGCCACAGAGAAACCACAAGGCTCCTTGCTGGATGGCAGCATCTGGGAAGCAGTGGGCGTCAGCAGGACCAGGGAGTCGCATCTACCTGGGAGCCCAGCACCTGGATCCACAAGGGACATGTGATCCCAGGGATGTGAGCCAACAGCTCTCAGGCCAATGACCCTTTTTCCCTCTTCCTAGTGGCCTGGATCTGGGCATGGACAGGGAGTGCAGTGGTCACTCATGTACACAGTCACAGTGCTTGGAGCCACAGGAATTGCAGGTGAAACTGCCTTAGCACCTCCTGGTGGCCATTACAAAAATTGCAGGTAGAGCACATAAAGACATCCTGCCACCCAAACGTGGTCAGGCTTGCATCATCATAGCAAGGAGGCCAGAGGGGAGGGAATTTCTCAAGGTCACACAGAAAATTGGGAGCAACACTGCTGAGCCAACATTAGGAGGTGGGAGAGCGGCGCTGGAGAGATGGCTCAGAGGCTCAGGGGCTGCTCTTCAAGAGGTCCCGAGTTCAGTTCCCAGCAACCTCATGGTGGCTCGAAACCATCTGTACTGAGATCTGGTGCCCTCTTCTGGCCTGGAGGGCTACATGCAGGCAGAACACTATAAATAAATCTTTAAAAAAAGAAAAAAAAGGAGGTGGGGGAGTAAGACCAGTGTGCCCATGTCTTAGGGCCCTCGGTTTTCGCACCCGTGGGTTCTGCCATGTCTGAGACCTCGTCTGAGTGACTTACCTGGAATAAGGCTGGGCTCCCAGGGAGAGAGAGGTGTGGCGACCCTGGCCCAGCCTGCTCCTTCAGCCAGCACCTTGCATCCCCAAAATCATGGCTCCATGTCCTCCAGCCCCTACTACCTGAGGATGAGACAGAAAGACACAGGTAAGGACAAAAGCGACATCGCTCAGCTTCTAGGCCTCTCTGCTAGCCCAGGGTCCAGCTAAAGTGTCTTCGTGCACGTGAAGGCTCCCTGGACACCCTGGCCCCACTAGAAACGCTCGGAGCACAGAATTCGCGCCAGGTTGTGACAGGTTCCAGGCTGGGAGTATGCAGTGACCCCAGCTGCTCAACCTGCCCACTTTGAAGGTGAATGGACAGACACTGAAAAGAGATAGAGACAGACAGATGGAGACATGAAAAAATGGGTGGGGGGCGCAGAGAGACAGAGAGACCAGGACACAGGTAGATTCAGAGACAGACAAGGACACAGGGAGGAGAGCAGGAAAGGGAGTCCCCAGAGCCACCGCCGGGGCCAGCACCACAGACCAACAGAGCTAAAAGGCAGAGAGGAAGAGGGCCTGGTCACAGAGACCTCCCTCCCTCCGTCCCTGAGCCACCACTATCCCACCAGCTCAGGTCCTCACCGGGTCCCCAGTCCGGTCCTGGCTCACATCCCTAGTCACCTGGGGTCGCTGAGCAGCAGCAAGACGGAGCCGTCCTGTAGGCGCGCCTCGCGCACCGTCTGGTGGTCTGGTAGCGGCCTGGAGTTGTAGTAAAAGGTTCTGCGCCACGAGCTCACGCCCTGGCCCACTAGCTGCGCGCGCAGGTCGCTCAGCGTGTCGCGGGGCCGCACGGTCAGTGGCAGCAGCAACGCCTCGTCGGCCAAATGCACCTTGATGTGGTAGCGCTTCCAGCGCGACAGCCCGCGACGCAGCCCCTCCATGGCGGCCGCCAGCTGGAGACTGCAGGCCAGCACCTGCCAGACCTGCCGGGCCACCCGCCCCCGCCCCTCCGCCCCTTCCAGGCGCTCCCTGCTGCATGGGGTGTGGAGTGGGGGTGGTGACGTTGCCTGACCCAGCCCTGGCCTCCTTGGCACTCCCTTCCCCCCTCCGCACGGCATGCTCAAAGGCCCTGGGGCAGATAATGCAGCTGTGCAAGGATTCCAGAACAGGCAGAACTGGAGCGATCCTGGGGTGTAGGAGGAGCTGGGAGTTGGCCCTTGTTGGAGGGGTGGAGGAGCTAGGGCTGCAGAGAGGAGAGCCAGGTAGGAGGGCGCTGTAACCCACCTACCCGTTACCGGAACTTTCTCCCTAATCTACACCGCACTGGCTTTGGGTTTGGTGGGCCCCAAAGAAACCTCAGTCTTGGGCCTTTGCCGCCCACAGGGACAGATTCTCCAGCCAGAGGGGCAGCCCCCATCTGTGTTTGGGATGGCGAATGCCCTTCATGTGGCTATTGGAGGCAGGGCTTCAGGGGATGCTAAGAGCTCGCCCGCCATTCCTTCTTGCCCAGTCACCACCTGACACAGGTGAGCTTGGTGGGAAGAGGGGGAGCCCAGCCTCGCGATCCTCACCGCCCTCCTCAGGGCGCCAGCAGCATCTCATCTTGGGGCGCTTACACAAGCACATCTCTCCCTCCACCCCCAACAGGATGGAGCGGTTTGTCCTTTGACACACAGACTCTGGGCCTTGTCACAGGCAACCCTCCCTCCCAAGCCTCAGTGTCTCTGTCCACTGGTGCCTGGTAAGACAATGTTGACATAGGGCTCCTGACATATACTCACCCAGGAATGGCCCTGCTGAGAGAACATTCTAGAAGGTGTTAAATTTGACTCTACAGAGAAAAACAAACAAAACATTCTAAAAATTTACACAAGTGGCATTTTGGTGGCTCAGCCTTAATCCCAGTACTTGGAGAGGAATCCTTGTGAGTTCAAGGCCAGCCTGAGCTACATAGAGATCCTTGCCCCCCCCCCCCAAGAAAGCAAGAAAGGAGAATGCACAGGAAAAGCATATGTCTCGGTGAGCTGTGTGGGTGACACTAAATCCTGGAGCCTTTAATTAAAAGATTAATGGCTGACAACACAAAATATAAAACACCCACACACAAACACTTCACACAGGAAAACAGGAACAAAGCCAATGAAAACTCTCAACTGTCAATAGACAAAGCCTGACTTCCACAGTATATAAAAAGCTTCTAGAAATCAACAAGAACCAACAATAGATTAAAAAATGAATAGAAGACATAGCATGTTTATGAAAAGTGCACATCTTCGATCTTCAGCCTGGTGGTGGTGGCGCACACCTTTAATCCCAGCACTCTGGAGGCAGAGGCAGGCGGATCTCTGTGAGTTACGGCCAGTCTACAGAGAGGGCTACCCAGAGAAGCCCTGTCTTGAAAAAAAAAGAAGGGCACATCTATGTAAAACTTGGAATGGAATCCAAGGCCAGGCACTTTTTAGGGAAAAGACCACCCTGACCATCCACACCCCCAATCCCTCACTGAGGGGTTCATCAGGGCTCCTCCTTGACCATGCCCCCAGCCCCTCCTGGTCCGCTTTGCTTTGTCACTGCGGTCTCTGGGTTGAGGACCGGCTCAGACAGCTGTGTGGTCCCTGTGTGGACAGTCAGACCAGGGCACAATGCTGAGCCATTAACATTCAACCTGCAGCACACAGGGAAACTGAGTCCTAGTGGGGACAGCCGGTGCGTGGCTGGCTCCATCTGTGGGGCCAGGGCCCCAAGTCCCCACCCATCACCCACAGCTGTGGGTACCTACTGGTTGCAGCGAGGGCCAGGGCCTTGCGGGCTGAAGCAGGTGGAGGCCACTCGAGCTGAGACAGGCCAGGTGGTTGTAGCCCAAGGCTCTGTGGTTTGACTCTTCGGATGGATCAAGGCTCTGTGTTCTGACCCAGGCAATGGCAGCAAGCTTGGAGAATCCCTGAAAAGTCAGGCTCAGGTCAAAGCATCGCTGAACTGACCAGCTTGTGTCGACATTTGAATTTGCTTTACCCTTTTTCTATTGTACTGTTGATGTTTGTTGACATTCTATACCCTGAGAATGCTCTTGAACTTTTTTTTTTTTCGAGACAGGGTTTCTCTTTATGGCTTTGGAGGCTGTCCTGGAACTCGCTCTGTAGACCGGGCTGACCTCGAACTCACAGTGATCCGCCTGCCTCTGCCTCCCGAGTGCTGGGATTAAAGGCGTGCGCCACCAACGCCCAGCAACTTGAATGTGCTGCATCATGCAGGACGCAGTTCTGTTGTGGTGTTTAAACAGGACTACTCACTATGTAGTCCAGGCTAGCCGCAAACTTCTTTTTCTGCCTCAGTCTCCCAAGCGCTGGGAAGACAGACTCCCACTGCCTTACAATTCTCCGTCTTTCCCCCATGTATATTAATTTTGAGAGTGGCCATGTGGCCCTGGCTGGCCTGGAACTCACAGATCCTTCTACCTCAACCCCCTCCCCCAGCCTGGGATGGGTGTGCCACTATGCTGGTTAAGGGCATTGGCTGTTCTCCAGAGGACCCGAGTTCAATTCCCAGCACCCACATGGCGGCTCACAGCTGTCTGTAATTCCAGTTCCAGCAGATCTGGCATCCTCACACAGACATATATGCAGGCAAAACATCACTGCATATAAAATAAAAAATTCACTTACTTGTGTGTGTGTAAGCATCCGTAAGAGTGTCTCTCTGTGTCTGTACATGGAAACCAGAGGACACCTTATGGGATGGAATTTAGGTTGTCCAGCTTTGTTGTGAAGTACTTTTCCTTACCAAGCATGCCCAATGCCTTCTCTCATTTGTTATTATTGTTATGGGGGGGGGTACTTCATGTACCCCAGGCTGACCTCAAACTTGTGATGTAGCCAAGAATGGATAGCAACTCTTGGGTTCTGAGGCTGGTTCAGTCCAAACCTTGCTGGACTTTGAGGTGGCATCGGTGTGTGTGTGTGTGTGTGTGTGTGTGTGTGTGTGTGTGTGTGTGTGTGTGTGATACCAGCACCATTGAGCCCAGCCTGAGGCAGTTGGAATGCCTTGGCATATAGTATGGCTCTTGGGCACCACCTGGTGGCGATTCGGGGCAGAGGCGGTAGGCTTGAAAACCAGGGGCTGCCCCCCAAATGGTGCAGGCCAGAGTGTGTCTCTCCCTTCTACTTTTATGTTTGGTACTGGGGGATGGCTTTGCTGTCACACAACCCCAGCCCACACCTGTCTTTTTGGAGGCAGGGTTTCCCCTTGGAGTCCAGGTCTGGACTTGGGTGAGCAGATCCTGAGATCCGAGGCTCACCCCCGGGCCCCTGATCCTGGCAACCCTTCAGTGTCTCCCCTGCAGGGCTGAGCCTTCAGGCTGTTCACCAGTCTTGCACATGTCTGCCTGCTCAGTCCCTCTAACCCTCCTGCCGTGTCTGTCCTAGGGGTTCCTGATATGCAGTTGCCTCTCTGGGAACACTGTTCCCGCTGGTCACCTCCAGGAAGCCAACAAGCAGTGTCACGTTCCCAGTGCACTGTCGCGTCTGCTTCTCAGCCTGTGTCTGAGAACGTGCGGAGGGTGTCGGGGATTGACAACACAGAGACTTGTTCAATGATGTAAAGAAAACTTTAAACAGGCCCCAAAAAGGTTCAAGAAAACTTCCTAAGAAAGGCTCCCACCAGAGAAGCTTCTGCTCTCTCCTCTCCCCTGGCTGGTTCTGCTCTGACCCCAGAAACTGATCTGGGTGTGGCAGAAGAGGTGGTTAGTCTTTGGACAAGGTCGAGGTCAGGGTGGTTTCTGTGGGCAGGCCTTTTCCAGGAACTTATTGCCCCCGGGCATTGTATTGTTTTTAGTAAACATGTTTTTAGTAAACATTGTCTTACAGCTGCCTACTCCCAGGCAGAAGGGGAAGTGGGTCTCTGCTCAAGGTCTGGTGTTCCCACAGTGCACAAGCAGCATTTGGAAGCCAATGACAGCAAGTGGGAACAGAGGGGAGTATGTGGGTCTGGGATCCCCCTTCTCAGGGAACCCAGCTCAGGGCCTCTCTGGTGACTCCAGGAACCAGGGACTGGAGACACTGAAAGTCACCCTACTGCTTTCATCCCAGAGAACTTGGTCATACCCAAGTGCCCCAAGAAGCTCGCATGACATCTCACTGGCTCCCAGGCTCTTCAGTCCCTGTGGGGTGGCCCAGAATTTACAACCCTGCCTCAACTTCCCAGACGATGGTGTCGTGGGCCTGACTTAAAGCCTTCTGAGGTCAGCGCCCCCAAGCCCCCGAAGTCCCTGTCTCCACAGCCATCAGGGAAGCTTCCTCCCACAGTGGATGAGAACCAAGAGACCCACAGCTGGACAAGGTACAGGAAGCAAGACTTGAGGTGCTCAGCCGCACATGGGAGGTGGGAACTCTCCAAGGAGGCCGTCTCCCAGACACAACAGGACTGAAACACACACACAGCAAAGATCAGAACTCCCCACCCTACCAAGGAAACTATCTGCAACTCACACCTACAGAAGGAAAACCCAGTTTTCTTCAATGGAATGTGCTGGGTTTACTAACGACATGTCAGGGCAGGCCCCATGCCCAGCAGTTAGTTGGCCAACACAAAATTAACTCAATGGTATTATTTTGCTTTGCTTGGGAATTTTTGACTTATTTACTTGTATATTTTGGATTTTGACTGTGGTTTTTCTCTGTGCCTGTGTTATTAAAAAAAGAAAGTTCAATAGACAAGGAGAGGATCGGAGGGATGGAAAAACATGGTCAAAATCCAGTGTATAAAAAACTTAAGTTTCAGCCAGGTGGCACAGGCCTTTAACCCCAGCACTAAGGGGGCTGAGGCAGGATTTCTGAGAGTGCCACTGAGAGACACTGAGAACCTTTGTTTCAACTAAAAATAAAATAGTAATTTAAGGCGGGGGCCAAGGTCAGGGGTGGAGCACCACTTGGAGCCCCCAGCGAGGGGCTGGGGTGTGGTCAGGGGTGAAGTGACAGACAGATGCCTGGAAAACTGTAAGCACGAAGGAGCCGAGACCAGGACCAAGGGGGTGCAGGTCAATTCCATAAAGAACTGTGCATATCTGTGAGTTCGAGGCCAGCCTGGTCTACAGAGCGAGTTCCAGGACAGCCTCCAAAGCCACAGAGAAACCCTGTCTCGGAAAAAACCAAAGAACTGTGCATAGTGTGTGCAGCAAGCTCCAGGCGAGTCCCTCAATATGTGTTCCAAACCAGGTGAGGCTAGTGTGTGGCCAGAGGACCTGGCTGGTCTCACAGGAAACGGGCGGGGTCATGCAACTTGCTGCCCGGGGGGTTGGGGGGCGGGGGTGGGGTGGGGGTGGTATCACCAGCCTGAGTGACTTCAGTGTTAACTGATTCTAGTGTCCCTGAGGGCTGTGACACACCTGTCTGACACTAGCCACAAAGACTGACCTGACCAGTGTAAACAGGTGCTTTCTTTTGTCCTGAACTTGGTAATGCAGTCCAGGCAGGTGTTGAGCTCCTGTGTGCCACCACGCCCAGTGATCAGATATCTTACAAGTGTCACACAAAGGGAAATGTCCCCATCCTAACCCTGCGCCTGAGGGGCAGGCAACAGGGCTTACAGGAGGCAGGCACAGGTCAGCCCAGCACATGTGCTGCTCAGCATTTATTAAGCACTTGCTGCATGAGGGGCACCGTACGCCTTTGTGCAGTGTAACAAGGCCTCCGGCAAGCAGGACAGATGCAGTGGCACACACTGTAGGAGTGCGGGGTTATGAGTTCAAGGCCCCTTCCTTTCTCAGGACAAGGCTTGGAGGCAGGAAGCTCGTTCTCAAGCTTGGGAAGCCATGCCCACACACATCTCCTGAAGATTCCGCCCGTGTCAGCACAACACAGCTATGTCCACATTGCAGCAGCCACAGTGCCACTTTCTTTCTGTGGCTATGGACTGCAAGGATGCTCTGCAGCAGCCCCGCAGCGTGCCTCCGGTGTCTGGCTAACGACACGTGAGCACTGTGTCCCCATCCAGGTCTGACTCATGTCCTGTCTGGCTGAGACAGGGCCTCCAGGCTGGAGTGAGCAGGTCTGGCCCCAGCCTCGGAGTGATCTGAATGGCTGACATGCTCAGCAGCCCCCAGTGCACATCCCACCTGCCAAGGCCAGCCCTGCCATTCCAGGGGACCAAACACAGCCTTGGGGACAGATGTTGGCAGGCCAAGGTGCAGGGAGTGCTGGCCTGAGCGTGGTGACATGATGGGCTCCGGTGGGCTGAGGGATACAGAGACAGACTTGGTGCAGCCAGCACTGCACAGATGGGATCTGGGCCTCAGAGACGGCCCAAGGCAGGCTGGATACCTCACTCTGGCTCAGGAAAGCAGTGACTTCACAGCCAGCTTGTGGTGGGGTCAACCGCTCAGGACAATCCCATCGATCCGATCGGATCCTCACTCAGTATGCAGGGATCTCTACCTCCTGTGCTACAGCCACAGGCGGTTAGATGCTCTCACCTGAGCCCACGCTCAGAGGGTGCGGTGGGATGTTGAGGTGGTCCTGCAGTCAGAGCCTGGCTGGCACTGCCTGACCAGGCACTAGCGTCTGCCACCATCAGGCTGTAGCTTTTCGAGGCCTCTAGGGAAAGCCAGCTCAGGTTTCTGCACCACACCTAGACTAGGAAAGGCGGCCGGTGGCACGGCAACTGCCATCTCCCAGTCAAGCCCCAGCCCTTCCCCATCACACCCCTGCCCTCCAAACACAGCCCAGCTACGGGGCTGTCACCCCACCCTCACTGCGACAGACCCTGGGGGCACATGTCAGCTCTGGAGCATGCGCCAAGTGCAGGGACACAGCTGCAGCCACAGGAGCTGGCGGGCGGAATGCCTGACAAGAGAAACCTTGTCTTACAAACGGCACAACAGTTCCGTGTTTATTAAAAACACTAGTAAGAGTGAGTTCACGTCGACACCCGGCAGAACCTGCAACTGCCGGCGGTGCCGCAGTGCAAGCAGGCTTGGGCACAGCCTCTGCCTAGACTGCAGCAGCAGGGTTTGGTCCAGAGCAGGGCTCAGTAGCGACGGCTCAAGTGGGGGTGAAGGTGGGGGTGCAGGGCTCTGCCACCCTGGTCCTGGCTGGTCACGCCGCCACCTTCTAGTCCAGCAGCGGGCACCACATGGCCCTGGGAATGTCCACCGTGTGCAAAGCTGCTTTGCCTGGAACAAAAGGCAGATGGTCTGCAAGGGCCACGGCTGGTGACAAGGTGACTCCTCACACAATACAGGGCCCTTTACAGTTCTCTCAGAATGCCAGCCCAGCCAGTGTACAGTCACGCAGACGGAGGGAGGGGGGAGGAGGGAAGAGACAGGGGCTGGCACTGCGGCCTTCTTACCCAGCCACGCCACCTCGGGCTGCTGGCACGTGCACATGCCCAGGCCCTGCAAGGCCCCGCTCAGCACCTGCAGTAGAGACGGCTCTGTGGACTCTGCCTGCACTGTCGACCTGGCGCTCACCTGCCCCTTGCAGCCCCCTGGTACCTCGCCAGCGTATGTGCTCATGGCCCGTCGCGTTTGCGTCCACAGCGCTGTGCCAGGCGGGAAGCCGCTGCTCCTCCAGCCGTGAGTTGTGCTCTTCCCATTCTCTGCCGACCCTTTGCCAAACAGAGGGCGACACATGGCTGTCCCTACTCACTTCCCATCACACCAGAAAGATGTGAGCCCAACTCCAGGCACACTCAAAGATGGGCCTGTGGCCAGAGGTGGGCAATGAAGACGCCAGGCACCACCAGGGAAAGGACAGTCACCACCAAGGCAGGCACAGTGGCGCCACAAGAAGCCAGTGGTCCTGGCCAGTTTGGGGCTCCACACTTGGGTCACATGGAAACATGCTGACACAAACACGCACAGCACATGCAGGCAGCATGGCCCACAGCACGCCCAGGCTCCTCCTCAAGGACACTTACCTGGGGGGAGGGGGCAGCCCTTGGCCTTCATTCACCTTCTTGTCAGAACCGTAGCCACGCCAGCTGTCTCGGGAGTCCCAACCATGGTACTCGAGGGAGCCGCCACGGCTGTGGTGCTCATCTAGGTAGTGCTGCAACAGGGCACAGGAGACACGGGGTGTCTTTTCTGGGGTCCAGGCACGCATGCACGGGGCCTGGCTTAATATTCCGCTCTGCCCACACTAAAGCCCATGTCCCCTAGATGAGCAACAGGGCCGAGACGCAGAGGAGCCTGAGGCAGCTCTGCAGCAGCTGTGCATGCCCCACCAGGGGTCTCTTCCTGTCCAAGGGACACGCTCTGGGGACACCCAGCGGACAAGCTACTTCCCAAGCCCTGCCTTGACCTAAGCCCATCCTGCAGGACGCCACCTCCTCCCTGGAGACTTGAGGGACTGTGGTGTATTCACATGGCTGTCAGCACCAGCACACAGCTCAACTGGAGGGGCCAAAGCCTGGACCCAACTCCCCATGGGGCCGCAAGGCTACCATTGCATTGAAGGTCCCCAGGCAAACGACACCACCTTCCCAAGCACGTGGTAACTGAACCGCTGACCTCTACTGGGTAAGCCTCAGAATGGAGTGCTGCCCTACCCACTCACCTGCTCATGACGCTCCTCCATCCCTGGTCTGGGCCCCTCTCTCCTGCAAAGGGAACAGGACACTGGTGTGCAGGAGTAGGGGAGGCAGAGCTCTCCTCCCTACCCTCACACACACTAGCACCTGTGTGCTAGGGATGGATGGCCGTGGCAGGTGGAAAGCTGTTCTCCGGAGGTCAGAGCCAGGGAGAACAGGCAGCAACAGCCTCCATAAAGCTGCAGACCCAGGAGAGTGGCCCGCGTCTACAATGGGCAGGGGTGAGACAGTGTGGAGTACAGACAGCGTGGAGTCTGACAAGACCCCAGGGGAGAGGGGACTACAGACCCAGGAGTGCAAGGCCAGTGACCTCTCGCTCCTTTCAACCTGCTTCCTCCTCTAGAGTATCCAGCTAGGCAACCTGGCCCAAGCTAGGACCCTCTAGGAGGCACGAGGGGACTTGGTAGTCAGGGCACTGAGGGTGGGCACAGGGTGCCCAGTGTTCCCTGGTGACACTTGCAGCTGTCCTGCAGAGGGCCCAGGGAGCAGTCAGTTTTTCAGAGAGCACTAGGACTCACCCGTCACACACCTGGTGACCCAGGGGAGCAGCTGACCTGCTTATGGCATGTTCCTGGTAGTGGCCATGCTCCCGGTGGTCGAAGTCATGGAAGCGGTGATCCGGCCGTGGGAAGTCTCGGTACCTGTCCTCCATGGCTGCACGCTTCCCTTCAGGCCAGTAGCTGTCCTCTCTCCTGCTTTACAGTTTGCAAAACTATTTCATTCAAGATGGCAGCGGCACTGTCCCACAGTCACGAGCACAGTGCTGGACCACACTCAGTGCCCATGCAGAGCTCTCCCCGTCAGCCTCTCCCCTGGGAGGGACTGTGCGAAAGCAATGGGATTGATTACAGGCGTCTGTCTCCTCAGCACGCCTGTGGTGACTGTCCTCCCCATGGCTCTGCACTGCCCACTAGCACAGGACGCTGGGCAGAGGGCCACAGCAGAGAGCTAACTGATGAACACTGCCAAGTGGCTCTCCACAGGGGAGGCAGCACCAGCCTGGCACTCACCGGGCATCCAGGTCATAGGGTCTGCGCAGTGCCCGACGCTCCTGCTCAGCCCGCAGCTGCTCTTGCTGCCTCCGCAGCTCCTCACGCTCACGCATAATGCGCTGCTGCTCCTTGCGCCTTTCACGCTCCACACGCATGCGCTCCCGCTCCAGTCGCTCCCTCTCCAGTCGCTCCCGCTCCAGCCGCTGCCGCTGGCACTGGAGCTGTATCCGTTCCCTCTGCACTCGCGCCTTCTCTCGCCGTTCCTGGAAGGCGTCCAGCCGCTGCTCCCGCTCGCGCTGCTCCCGCTCCCTGCAGGAAGGTAGCCATCAGCCCACCAGCAAGCTGCAGCCTCAGCGCTGCCTGTGGCCGCCTACGCAGGCTACTGAGGTCTTGGCAGCTGGGCCTTGGCCTGCTCTGCCATAGCATGCCCTCAGACCCTCAGATGTGTCAGGAGCCATTTCCAACCCAAGCCAGTAGCCAAGGACGGTTAAGCCCGTGTCCACCACCCCTGCTCACCGTCGCCGCTCTGTCTCCCGGATCTCTCGTTCCCGCTGCCTCTGGCGCTCGCGTTCCCTCTGTTCCTTGATCTTATCGAATGACAGGATGTCTCTCTTCTCCCGACCCTCCGACTTGCGGTCTTGACTTTTAGAGCTCTGCTGACCAGAGCCACGCAGTCAGAACTGGGAGGTGTGCAGAGTGGGGGGGGTCTCCCTGTGAGCACTGGCAGCCAGCCTGGCAAATGCCATCCCGCCTAGCTCCTGAGCACTGGGCTCTTCAGTTTTCACCACAAAGCAGTGTCAGTGGCCTGAATTCAGCCTATTCTAAACCTTATAGAGCTGCTTGTACGAACATGCACCTGTGACATCAGCACTTCAGGGGGTGACATCAGGACTGAAAATTCAAGGCCAGCCTCGGATACAGATGTAGCAGAGCCCCTGCCAAAATGCAGACATCAGAGCAGAGCAAAGCCAGACCTTCTAGTCAGAAGGGAGGCTGCACCTTAGGCTTCAACAGAGGCTCTTTGTTTGCCTTTTCTAGACAGGGTTTTCTGTGTAACTCTGGCTGTCTTCGAATTCACAGACATTGGCTTGCTTGTCTCCTAAGTGCTGGGATTAAAGGCATGCGCCACCACTGCCTGGCCATCATTCCGAGACCTCCGAACTGTATAGTCTAGTTTCAAGGCCAGGGTGTTTGTGAAGGCAGGGTTGGCTAAAGGCCTGCAGACCTTGAGGGTGACCTTGGCATTTCTGATCAGGAACAACCAGAAAGTTCTAAATTCAGAGGACCCAGACTGGCAGCTCACAAATAACTCCAGTTCCAGGGGATCCCTGGGCTGCTCCACACGTGGTGTAAATAACAGAAACAGGGCCTTGGCATGAAGCTGAGCTGCATGGGCTATGAGGGGCTCCCACCCTCATGCTTTTAGTGAGAACCCTGCATGTTCACACTGATCATAGCCCCTTGACGGTCTCTGTGGGGGCACTTGCTGGTTTAAGGACTATATTTGGATTTTAGAAGGCTCAGGACAGACAGCCCTGGGAGTTATAGACACTTCCAGTCTAAGAAGCCAAATGCTGACTTACTTATCCTGCAGGTGTGGACACAGTAGGCATCGCCATGCCATGAAAGCCTACACTCATCACCAGATGTACTCTAGCCTTGTGCCTGGTGGAGATCAGTGTGCCAACCTGCCTCTTTTGGGTGGAGGCTTCCAGGGTAAAATGTCTCAGGCAAGCCCACATACCCCTGGTGTTGCCAAGGACAAGGCCCTACTTCCCTTGGATTCACTTAGCACGAGGCCAACAGCAGAGACAAATACAATGTTACACTAGACCATGCCAGATGGGTCCATCTCTGCCAAGGCTGTCCATGCCTCAGTCCCGTCTCCTAGAGGTGGGTAGAGCTGACAGCTAGGGCCCAGCCCCGCCCATCAATGCTTACTCTGTCCTTTGACCTGCTTGCAGCCTTCACGCTGATGACGGGCTCACCCTTGGACTTGTCCATCACGACTGTGCGCTCCGTGCCTCTGCTTCCTGCATGAACGCCCAGGCAGCTGTGAGCATGTAAGCATGGTACAGCCCAGCCTTGCAGACCCCACAAGTGTGTGCAGAGTGTGGTCCTGGTGGGTATCGCCTAGCCGTGGGCACGCTTCCTGGCTGGGCATCTCTGCACTGTAGGCTGTAAGCACTAGGACAATGGTGCCTCTGGAGAGGACCAGCCAACGCAGAGTCTGTAATTTCCTTCCTTCCTCTTAATCTTTTTCCTTTAAGTCTTTCAAGACAGGGTTTCTCTGCGTAGCCCTGGCTGTTCTGGAACTTACTCCAACTCATAAAGATCCGCCTGCCTCTACCTCCCGAGTGCTGGGGTAAAAGGGGTGCGCCACCACCACCAAGCTCATTTTATTTTTTTCAATGCAGGATTTCTCTGTGTAATCCTTGTAACTCACTACATAGGCCAGGCAGACCTTGAACTCAAACATCTGCCTTTGGCATCCCAAGTGATGGATTAAAGAGGACAGGCAGCAGCTAGAGATGGGTCAGAGGTTAAGAGCACTGGCTGCTCTTCCAGAGGTCCAGAGTTCAATTCCCAGCAACCACATGGTGGCTCACAGCCATGTATAATGGATCTGGGCCCTCTTCTGGCACACAGGATCATATACATGAAATAAATCTTAAGAATTTTTTAAAAAATTCATAAAAAAACATGACTGGCAGTTTTAGTTTTATTTTAAATACTTAAGCTTTTGTTGAGAGGAACATCTCAAGATGCTGGTGAGGAGCCACACGGCATAATTTGGCTCTCTTTTCTCAGCATCAGGGAAGAGAGCCATTGGGTTCAACAGACCCAGACCAACTTGACTGTGGGCACTGCAATCAACCAATATAAAATGGCAGCAAATAGCATGGAATAAACATAATTGGGGCCAGGGAGATGGCACAGTGCTAGCCTTGAGAACTGGACTCCAGACCCAAGAACCATGTGAATGTCAGCTGCAACATGAATGAGCTAACCAGCAGCACAGGGCCCTGTCAGGGGAGAGACCTGCTGAGGTCACTAGGGGCAGGGGCGTGAGCACACATGCAGCACAGGCACATAAAGACAGGGGTCCCGGCAGGACCTGGGCTCAGTGCCCACTCTTGTGTCTTCAGACTGGCTTGTCAAGGTGGTCTGCGCGCAGCCTGTGCTCTAGGCCATCTTCTGGGCCCTTGACCAGACAAGGACTTGGAGGAACTGAATTGCACATATAACTCTGTGTCCAGTAACTACCAGCCCCAGGCTCAGGCCTGCCCCGTAGAGCAAGGCTCCTTCTTCTTCCTGTGCGGGCAGAACCTACCACTAGCCTCTACCCACCCTCAGTGCAGTGCACACCTCATGCTGCAATTTTGTCACAGACGTTTGCTAGGCTATCCACAAACTCCTTGCCAGTTTTGAGTGGGGTGACACAGGCCCATGCCACTAGGCCTGCTCTGCAGGGTAGACATTTCTATTCTATCACTGGTCTGCAGTTGGTGCTCACACACGGCACAAAGCAGAGCCCAGGGAGTGGCAAGTCTTGCTTGTGTCCTGCCCACGACCTCTCCATCTCCTGCTATGCTTTCACCCCTTGCGCTGGTGTCAGGGCTCACCGGGTTTGGCGACTCGAGACCGACTGGCAGCTCCCGGTGTGAGCTCATCTTGATCCTTCTCCTTCTTGATGTCTTCCGGCCTTTTTTCCTCCTTTCTTTCCAGCTTCTCTTCCTTCTTGATCACAGTTCTGTTGGAAACGCTAAGCTGTAGCCTCCAGGTGACCTCGACAGGAGCCACTAGCCCCACCCACCAGCGAAGGGGAGGATCTGAGGCCTGCACCACTCCTGCTCCTCTTTGGTGGCCTAAAAGCTGGGAACACCAAGGTCAGAATGCTGCTGGAGCCCCAGCACCTCAGCTAACCCAGAGACTAATTTGGTCCAGGTTGGCTTCAAACTCCCGATCGTCTCTCTCTTGATGCTGGGATGACAGGCATGTGCCATAACACCTGGTTCTCCATGGTGCTAGTGATGTAAGCCAGGGTTTGAGCAACACTCCCAGCCACATTATTTACTGTTTCTGTGATTGGATATATCCAAAGTGCACGCATGGAGGGCAGAGGACAACCTGCAGGAACCATTTCTCTCCAGCATGCAGATTCTGGAATTAAACTAGGAGCACCAGGCTTGGTGGCAAGCATCTTTACCAGCTGAGCCACCCCTAGAGACACTCTCACAGCAAAGCCATCTGAACCAAGTGCAGTGGGTAAGCCCATCTCTCCAGCTTTTAGGAGACTAATGCAGAGGGACTGAGTTCTGTGCCAGCTTAAGCCACATCAACTAAGTGACCCCTATGTTGACAAGCAGACAGAGCTCCCATGATGCCAGCTCAGAGAGCGGGCTTTGCCTGGGCCGACCCGCTCCCCACAGCTTCTAGACTCATCCACCAGGCACACAGTGTTACCCATGTCCCCATGGAGCTGTAGGGTGGGCTGTGCCCATTTCAGAAGCACACTGCCGCGGCGTCTCCCCTGCCTCTCGGGTGCTGGCCAGAGCCTCCACCTCTCTCACACCTCCTACTCTGGCCCTGCTCCTCCTCTACTCTCCCTCCTGGCAGCCGCTGGTCTCCAGTGCTCCTGCCGAGTTCTTCCTTTAGACTCTAACTTATCACCTGCAGGCTTGCATTTGTGTCTGTTCTTAAATTCACTTATTAGTGAGACTCAGAGCCCTGAGAGGGGACCCTGATTTCCCAGCTATCATATAATAGCTGTGCTGGGATTCCCCACAATTTTTGGTAATACTTTGAATCCTTTAATTGGCAAAGAAAACAGACTGTTGTTACCATGTCCCAGGATGACACCACTATAACAAGCCTCTGAATGCTCTATCAGCAGGCCATGGGCGTGCCACCTGCCATGCCCACAGTCACAGCCAGGAGCTTCCTGGAGTGAGTTCTGATCCCACCTACGCTGCTGGGTGCCTTCCCAGAGCCTGCAACGTCCACATAAGGCCAGGCTGCAGGGCCTGACGCATTGTCCCAGCGACGCCCTCATTCTCAGCACTCTGGTTCATTGCTGCCATCCTTGTCCTGGGACTTGAACAGTGACCACCTTGAGGGCAGCCTGCTCCCCACTGATCTGTGGGGCCACTGTGCAGGTCTGAAGCCCGGCTCTACCCATACCCCAATACTACCCACGTTAAACTTAACAACCACCTTCTCCATCACTGATCCCTCCTGCCAAAGATCCCTCAATGATGACAGCAACACCAGCTGGCAGGCCACCAGGTCTGTGCCTGTATATTTCTGCTGAAAATATAAGCCATGTCCCTTGGCAAGAGCACTCCGAAAACCCTGGCTCTAAGTGCTAAGGCACTGCAGGGATGTGCGGTATGCCTGGGCATTTTTAACATCTGCATGGGCATGGTGACGTGTGACTCTGTTCGACGTCAGCACTGTGGCAGGAGGGGCTGTGAGCTAGAGAATCTGGTGCACATCTGGGTGAGTCAGTCCAGGAAGCCCTTCCAGGTCTGATGCTCTCACAGCCAGGAGGTAAAGGCTGGCCCTAAGGCTGCACTAGCTACACTGCCTCAGCTGGTATGGAGCCTGCTCAGCTACCTGGCTCTGGGCTCTGACTAGGGACTGCATTGTCCTGTGGCTACCAGCTGGGGAGTAGGGTTTGGAAGGGCACTGGGACCCCAGGGGACAGGGCCACCACGTCACTGTACTTCTCCGTCTTGATCTCCACAGGGTGAGGCCTGTCCAGCCCTGGCACCTTCTCCTTCAGGTCACAAGCTCTCCTGTCTGCCGACTTCTTCCCGGAGGGCTCGTTTTTAGCCTAGAATGTAACGGGGCGGTGGTGACTTGGGGGGGGCACAGCCCTGCTACTGCTGTGGGTGGCAACAGCAGGCACCTCACCTTCTCCACGGAGATCATCCTTCCGTGCAGTTCCGTTCTGTGCAAGTGGCTGATGCATTTGGTAGCCTCATCTGACATGGACATGGTCACAAATCCATAGCACCGAGCCCCAGGACTTCGGGCGTTGGTGACCACCTTGGCCCCGACGACCTCAAAGGGAAAGAATATAATGGTGTAAGGACACACTTAGCCTTTGTCACAAGAACACAGGGCTTACTAAGGGCCAAGCACTAGACAAACATTGCTGCGATCCTCAGTACTCGGCTCTGCCTAGTCAGCTTCTGCGGGTTTTTGAGAATCTTCACTGGTCAGAACACAGTAGCTCTCATGGTGACAAACAGTACACAGAGCCAGTCAAGTGTCACATGGACAGGTATGGTGCCTACAGCCACTGCACCACAGGGAAGGGCCAATGCTTTGCAGACCTGGACACATGATTCAGATTTCTCACTTCATGCCCGGATTTTCCGGGGCATGGGCAGGGAAGGAAACTGAGGCAGGTTAAAGGTGAGCTGAGGGTTGCAGAGGCTCTGAGCCAGATGGGAGTGGCCTGAGCCATGCAGGGGGAGGCCTGCATTCAGGGCCCCTTTTAGGTTGGGGAATATCCTGTGGGAGGCAGGTAAGTCACTGCTCAGATAAACAGCCAGAAGCTGACACAGCAGCCGACAGGGACAAGGCTGTACTGTGACCAGTCACAGGTGACATGGGACAAACTGGATGCCAGAATCTGCTGTTCAGGCAAGAAGTGGCCCAGCATGTTAGGAAGGTATAGGAACCAACTTCTGGAGGTGACAAGACTGATTGGCACCACACAGCAGAGGCCATGGAACAAAGTGCAAGAAAATCTACCAGAATGCAACAAAAGCTGGGACTGCAGCCAGGCCTGGGGAGGTGGGAGCTGGGAGCTGGACAGCAGCCCAGGGCCACAGAATGAGCATCTGCCAATTCCACAAGGAGCCACAATACCAAGTCCCCAAAGACAGGAACAAGAAAAGCAGAGCCCAGAAAACCCAATGTATTCTCTTGAAAATGCCAGGAGAAAAAGGTAGTGGGGTAGTTGTTAAGAACGAAGACAAAAATCCAGGCCAGCTAGCCAGGGTGCACCTGGTAACAGAAGAGCATGGCTGCCCTCCTCAGACACCAGTCACTCGTACTGCAGCAGGGAAGCGCCTGGGGGCAGAAGTGCCTGGGCTGAAGGCTGCTGAGCTATGCTTTTCGTGTCAAGCTTAACTGCTAAAGTGAAAATGACAGCAGCAGGAACTGGGATCAAGCTTAGCTCTATGAAATCTGGGGCTGCACCCCAACACACAGGACATCACTTGGAAACACACACCGATCTGCTTAACACCATCCAGGGAGTCACACAGCCAGAGGGGAGCTGCACCAAAAGGCTCGGACTACACAGACAGACAAGATTGGGATGGGGCATAGCGTCCTTGGACACATGTCCTGGCACACATCTTCGTTCTCATAACTGAGATGCTGCTCATGACGAGACGCATACCTGGCACACCCTTGACCACTAACTTAACCATCAGCCTGTTGTTCTTGTGCCACTGGCCTTAAGGCTTATGCAGATACACCAAGCTCACTGGCTCTCAAGACTCTGCTGTGTGCAGGAGCCTAACAACAGTGGCTCCGGGGCTTGTCTTACGACATCCCTGCAGTGGGCGTGACAACTGGTGCGGTGGAACAGCTGCCTGGGCCTGCACCAAAGGAATGAAGACGGCTTCTGCGGGACCACACCCCTGCCCAGACTGCTGTGTGTCCCCGTGCTCAGACTCGCCCAATGCAGGGTAGTCCCTTCTCCTGTCCCTATGTGCCCAAGGGAAGCTTTGAAGAGTGCACAGCATTAGTGAGAAGTCGGACCCACTCTCCTGCTCAAGTTTCCAAGGCGTTCCAGGCTGGAGGACACAGAGGGGCTCCCAAGAAGAGCTAAGACAGGGTGAACAGGCTCTCTGCTGTACCCTGGGCACTCTGAGCACAAGTGGGGGCTCCTTTCCTTCTGTAGCCCAACCTGGCTTCTAATCCACTAGGGTACCCAGGATGACTTTGAGCGACTGTCAATTTGATCCTCATGCCCCCACCTCAGGAATGCTGAGATCATACCCAGTTTATGTGGTGCTGGACCCCAGGGCCTCCTGCCAGCCGGGTTACGTGCTTAGCTACTCATCTCCACCCCCAACTCTGAAGCACAGGCCTGTTACCACAGCTGCTGCACATGTGCAAGGACAGACAGCTCAACTGCGAGAACTCAGTACAAACAGGGCAGGGGAGCGGGGTCTGGTGGTGCAAGTCTGAGGCAAGCCTGATCTATAGGCCAAGTCCAAGCCAAGAGACGGATCTAGTCAGTGGCAGAGCACTTCCCAAGCGCGCAGAAGCCCCAGGCCCATCTTCAGCACAAGACACCAACGTCTGAGGAAAAGCACACTAGGAGCTAGGAGGCCAGATGCTTTCCAATCCCATCTCGCTGGTGGGCAGATGCAGGGCACCCTACCTTCCCGTGCTTGCTGAAGAGGCTCTTGAGGTCAGCAGCACGTGTGCTGGAGGACAGCCCGCTGACCCACAGGTTCCTTCCCGAGGTACAGCTGGCATGGCCTGGGGAAAGGAGGGCATCAGCGCCACTGAGGCAGGACCCATCCACCAAGCTGAACAGCCACCACATGGGCAGAAGCTGTAAGATTCCCTGTACTGTGACTATGCCTGCATGTGGGGGTCAGAGGTCAACACCTAGGGTCCTCCTCATTTTCCTCCATACTGTGAGATGCAGCACAATGAGCCTGCAGGTCAGATTATGCTGGATTGGTGGGGCAGCGAAGCTCAGAGCTCACTGTGCCTCTCTCTCTGCCTCCACAGTGCTGGGGTTAGGGCTACAGGGATGGAGAGAATCTTCAGACTCACACGGCAGGCACTTTACACAAGGCCACCAGACTCTTCACTCCAGAGACAAACAGAGTAACACCCCGTGGGAGAGATGGCTTTGCAAGACAGCTCAAGGAGTCTTGCAAGTGCCTCCCTGTCACTCACAGGGCAGAGGAGTTCCCATCTGGGTGTGCTGCCCTGTGATACAGACACCCAGAATGCTGACAGTGGTTCACAGACGGGCCATGCACAGGGATAACTGGAATGTGTAGTAGCCTGTAGCCCACCCCCTCCCCGGGTCACCACATAGCAGCACAACTAAGGGAGGCCTACCTTTCTCGTCTTTAATGACTGGCTTTATATCCTGTTCTTCCTTAACAGAGCTAGAGACAAAAACAAATGTTACTGCAACAAGGAAAAGCCAAAGCAAACTAATTTCAAAGAATGAGTGTGCTAAAACTGAATACCTACCAGGGAATTAGTCTTAAGTTAAACCGACAGACACCTTTTGCAAGTTTATATTGGAAAATCTGACCACCACACAGTGTCAGATCCCTACAGAGCAATTCAGTCTAGCTGGTGATACCGGTCATCAATTTAAGAACTCAACCATGGCAGATTGAGCAAGGGAAAACCAATCACCCGTTAAACATATGCAGAGACATTGAGCTGCCTGAAGGAGCTAGCGCTGGGCAGTGTGGCTGCCGACTGCAGGCTCTACACAGCTCGTGTGTCACTAGTGACAATGAAAGGAGATAGCATCTGGTCTAGGACTGAGAATCAACAAACCTCATTTTCTGATCAGCGCCCTCACTGGCTGAGGACTCTTTAGGAGCTGCAGGGACGTCATTACAAGCGTCAAAAGCAAACTTCTTCACGTCGTCTTTGCTATCTTGGGGTTCAGGGCTCAGGGGTGCTGTGGGCGCTCTCACCAGCTCCTGGCTGGTGGCCTCCTCGAGCTGGGCAGCTGTACTACCCTGCTCAACTGGCTCCTCTAGCCCTACAGGTTCACGGTCCATCCCGGGGCCTCCGCCTGCCAGCTTTGCAGGCGCCCGGCGCAGTCGAGCCTCCTTGCACCTCCACCTGTGCTTGGCACCTTGGTTCGTCACCTTCACCAGGTCCCTTTTCACTACTGCTAACGGGGCGTCTGCCTCGCTCCACTGACACCGAGTGCTCGGAGACTCAGGCTCGCTGTTGCGGACCAAAGCTAAATCTCCCTCTTCCTCTTGCTCCTCTTCCTGCTCTTCCTCTTCTTCCTCTTCCGGGTGGCCGCAGCTCTCAAATAGGTCCTCTTCCTCCGCCAGCTTCCTGTCTGGCCCCACGCTACTCGTGGCCTGGGCAAAGGGCTGCTCCAGCTCCGAACCTTCTTCTTTTACTGGCTCAGATTTACAAGTTTCCCCCAAAATGTCGAGTATTTTCTCATTTTCTACGGATTTAACAGGAATAGAATGGCACAAGGTTTAATCACCAGGGAAATAAAGCAATCACAACTGCGGCTCGGGCGCGGCGGCCCCGCTCACACCGACAGAACTGCTGGCTACACAGAGATTGGAAAACCCGCTATACAGCGCCTGCACCCTACCTGCGCCTTGGCCATGGCGCCCCCAGCCTGTGCTCGCTAAGGGCAAGAGATGCCCCCCATCCACCCCACAACCATGGTGTAGTTTCCACAGCTTTCTTCACAGTTTCAATCACATATGTGTCTTCGGACTTCCTTCCAAATGTCCATAGTGTGGAAGCCATGGCAGTCACTGTTTACTGAGAGCTTGCTGCTCCCTGCTTGAAAGATCGAGGCCAGCACCAGAGTCCAAGGCAACCAGAGCTGCTCTTCGCCTATGAGAATGTGGCAGCCCAGAGGGGCCCAGGATGAACATCTTGGCAGAGACCCACTTGTCTTCTGGAATCGGTGGTTTTTTTTATTAAGTGCCCTAACACAGCCTCAGCCTGCCTCAACCCCATGACTGTGACTTAATATGGTATCATAAGATCTGCATCGTGTGTGGACAGACAGCCTCACCCAATGGTCACTTACAACCACCCTGCATGGCTTGATGCAAGTGACACATCTGCCCCCAAGGCTGCCCTTGGGCTACTGCAACACGCACACAGATCTGTGATACAGTGGGTTTCCAATCTCTGATCCTGTGCAACTGGGACCGTCCACCACTGGGGTGATTTACGAGACCCTAACACAGCTCAAGAACAGACAGGACTTAAGCGCGAGCAGCAGAGCGCCAAGCCACAATGTTGTGCCTGTCTCAGCAGTACCTGGTTCCAAGGGGGCTCCTTCAACAGCCTGTTGGAGAACAGAAAGACACATGTCACTCTAGACAGCACAGCCACGGACCCCATGCACAGATCTGTCACCAAGGCCTCATCCACTAATGCTTCCCATCAGACAGCAGCACCGTGAAGAACATTCTGTATACCCAGCTGAGGCACCCCTTCAGGCCTGAGACCAAACCCCATCCCACCCCACCCCACCCTACCCTCCAGGTAGCAAAGACACAGAATGGCAAGGCAGTGCCTCCCAGCCCGTCCTTAAGCTCAGGATTTAGGAAAGCCTGCCCATTCATTTAGGACAGTGGCCACGCCCTGCAGTTTCAGGGCCCAAGTCACCAGCATTGGCATCTCTTACTCCCAGGAGCTGTACCCCTTCTTGCCTCAGGGCCACCACCACACCAGATTCACCCTGGACTCAGCCACACTAACCCCAAGCCTGGGTCTCTCTGGGAACCTTCCAGGCACTTACAGAGCCCAGCCACCTGGCTCTCTGGTCCTGATCCCAGCCCCAGCTCACCATCCCTCCACACACCACACCAGTCAAAGCAAGTCCGGCCAGCATCTGTACTGCACTGTAAGGTTTGGAGGTAACAGGGTCACAGGGCTCTGGCCCATCAATAGCTCCTTCCTTTGGTGGTTGTGAACAGACAACAGGAAGGTGCTGGCTGGGGATGGAGGAGCCTGCACTGTCTCTGCGTGCCCCTGTTCCTTGGCCACCATGAAGCAAACAGCCTCCTCCAGCACACTCTCCACAGTGCCATGGCATCTTCCTCTTCTCAGAGATACAGCAACAGTCATCCGACCTTGTGAACTGTGACTAAGGTACATTTGCTGCCCTAACTGTCCCTTAGGCAACTGCCACAGAGTGAATAGCCAGTACACATGTGCTACACACACAGACACACACGCACACACACACATGCAGAGATGCATATAGACACATGCTCACAGATGCACATACACACATGTACACACAAACACTGCAGAGCCACAGGGAGAGGTCACTCACCAAAGTTGCTTTGAAGTCTGACACAGAAGCTTCCAGAGTCTTAAAGACATTCTCATTCACCTGGAAAAAAGAATCAGAACATGACTTCATGGCGGCCAGAGCAGTGACCACCTCTGTAAACTCCTCCACAGCACCCATCAACGTGACTGCTCAGGTGGCAGGCGTCCCTGTACTGGCTGAGTGAGGAGCAACTTCCCCAGCCACTTCTGAGAGACTCACACCCCATATGAAAATCGGATGCCTCTTCAGCTCTGCTATCTCAATCCTACTTGGACTTTGTGAATGGTTCTTCAGTTTACTTAAGACCCACTAGGTGAAGCCGGGCCTTGGTGGCGCACGCCTTTAATCCCAGGACTTGGGAGGCAGAGACAGGCGGATCTCTGTGAGTTTGAGGCCAGCCTGGTCTACAGAGCTAGTTCCAGGACAGCCACTAAAACAATACAGAGAAACCCGGTCTCAAAAAGCCAAAAAAAAAAAAAGACCCACAAGGTGTTCACACACCCTAATCTCAGGTGAAGCTGAGCCTCAGTAAATCCCTCAGGAAAGAAATCACAACACCACATTAAATCAACCAGCTGGGAACACCATGTAAAGCCAGCCTGCACAAGACAGATGCCCATGCGACAGAATTGTGCAGGGCTCAGGCCTTCAGAGCTGACAGCAACACCATCAGGTGACAGACAACAGCCTGATGTGTTGAGTGTGTTTCCACAGCACTTAAGAGTCCTCGTGACCTGAGTAGCCTCCATGCCACCCACATGCCCCTCTCCCTTGAGCACACAGCACTCCCTGCACTATCCCAGACCACTGGCCACCGGCACCTGACTGTGGAAGGATTAAACTTGGGACTGGTTCTACCAGGACCTGGGCAGCCCTGATGCTGAGCCCCCAGGGCCGCTGGCACACGCGTGGCTGCAAGTTACCTACAGCATGCTCCAGGAGTTGAGCTGGAAGCTGTCCCAGCTGCGCGGCCACGTACTCTTTACTGTCACTGAAGACATGAAGAACGCTGTCGTTGGTGTTGCCCTCCCCCAGGCAGGGCTCACTGAGGTCCTCAGCCTCCGTCCCATCTGGCACACCTGTGTCCATGCTGTCCCTGTCCTTTGAGCTCTGCAGAGTCACAACCCCGTCCTCCTGTGAGGGGAGTGATGGTGTCAGTCACCAAGACCATGGGGTGTGGGAAGGTGTGCCGCCCCCAGGCCCAACACACCTGCCCATCTCTGGAATCTTCTTCCAGGCCGTTGTCCTCGCTTCCCTCCTCCTCCATCTTGAGTCCTAATTATAGAATAGTGTCAATTGGGTTAGAATCCAGAGCCGGCCTCAGAATTAGTTGACAGGGGACAACACAATTTCCACGGTGTTAGCCATTTCTTCATATTGCAGAGATCCTCTCTGGGTGGGCGTCTTTCTAAGCCAAGACGTCAATCAACCTAGCACAGCACTCAAGACTCTTATATAAATAGCCTTAGGAGATCTCAAAATCGCCCCAGACTAAACACTTCAAAAGAAAGGAAAAGAGGTGCCTGTCCCTGCCTCCCATCACTAGACAAGGACACCTGCAATGCCGGCTGTAGACATACTGGACTGCTGACTGGGTCTACTTGCATTCTGCTCCCTACAAGTGCTCGCCTGCAACTTAGCACTGGTCTTTTGTGGTGCAAGCACAGCCGTATGTGGTGATCTGAGGTCAATAATAAGTGCCTCCTGAAATTGTTATCCATGTTATTTCCTGGTATAGGAGCTTACTGACCTGGAGCCTGCTGATGTGCCTGGCTGGTCAACCATCAAGCCCAAAGATCTTCCCGTGTCCACTTCCCAGCACTGTAGTTACAGATGCACACACTGGGGTTTCCCTGTGGGTGCTGGGAATCTGAACGCAGGCCTGCTCTAGTAACTCTGTGACAACAGCCCTGCAGATGGAGCCATCTCAGCCCCACCAACTGTTTTTAAAACCACATCTGTGGTAAGCTGAGTCCCATCAATGATTTTCTGAAAGAAAATGAACTCTGTGGGTGTCATAACTGCACCCCAAAGAGGAGAGAGGCCCCTGAGGGGTCAATTGAAGCTTGAAACCAGGGAGGAGGGAGCATCCTTGGCATGCAGGTGACTTGTGTGTAGACATGTGTACGCGACCCAGCAACTCCTGAAGCCTCCTGAAATGTCCAGGGTGCTTCATAACCCAGTGCAGTGGAAACACGGGTCCTCAAGACCTGGGTCCTTCTGTCCCTCTGATTTCTGGTTCCCTATGCCAACACCACCAGCTAACTTCTAAAAAGATTAAAAACCCGAGAGAGTCACAAAAGCATCATCCAATAAAAGAACAAGTGCTTGGGGAAATTGCTCAAAGTTAACAAGGACTCCAAATTCAACCCCCAGCATCCATGTAACGGCTGGATGTGGCCATGTCTGCAAGGTCGTCCCAGGGCCAGGGAGGTGCAGACAGAAGTGCTGGGAGCCTTCTGGCCAGAGTTTGCCGAGTCAGCAGTCCCAGCCAGCAGATGAAAGCACTTGCCAGGTGTTATTTGGATGACAAGCTTCAGGTATTTGAACTTTGTGTCCAGCTGACAATTTGGAACCCTTCAGGGCAGTGGTTCTCAACCTTCCTAATGCTGGGACCCCTTAATACAGCTCCTCATGTTGTGGTGACCTCCAACCATAAAATTATTTTTGTTGCGGGGCTGGACAGATGGCTCAGAGGTTAAGAGCACTGGCTGTTCTTCCAGAGGTTCTGAGTTCAATTCCCAGCAACCACATGGTGGCTCACAACCATCCGTAATGAGATCTGGTGCCCTCTTCTGGCCTGCAGACATACATGAAGACAGAACACCGTATACATAATAAATAAATCTTTTTAAAAAATTATTTTCGTTGCTACTTCATAACTGTAATTATTCATGTTTTCTGATGGTCTTTGGTGACCCCTGTGAAAGAGTTGTTCATTGCAAAGGGGTGCTACCCAGAGGCTGAGAACTTTAGGAAGTTTGTCACCATGAGAAGGATCTGAGAGGCAGCCTCACTCCACTTCTCTTCTGCTTCTTGTGTATGGATGAAAACGTAATCCTGATGGCACACCAGCCCCGTCATTACCAAGTCTCTGGAGTGAATGCCCAAAAGAGTTCCATCCTCAGAGCCCACTGTATAAAGCGTCCATTGATGCTGCACATGAACCACCACACTCAGAAAAAACAACAAAACTAAAAGGAGCAGGATGGCTCAGTGAGTAAAGCAGTTGCCACCAAGACTGATGATCGAGTTTGATTTCTGGAGCACACACAGTAGAGAGAACCGGCTCCTAAAAAGTCCCCTTGGATCTCTGTACTGTGTAACTATATTACGTGCATGTATGTACACACACACACACACACACACACACACACACTAAAATACGGAAACAGAAAACAAGTCAAGGCTGATGTTATCTAAGAACACTGGAGAAGTGGAGACTGGAGACCCCTGGAGTTGATGGTCAATCAGCCAAGCAGTGAGAACCTGTCCCAGGAAACAACATTTACAACTGAGGCCAATCCATTGCTGACCTCAGACCTCCACAAGTATGTGCACTCCAATCCACAGACACAGACAGACACAAAAAGAACCTCACGTTTAAGAACACTCAACTCGCCGGGCGTTGGTGGCGCATGCCTTTAATCCCAGCACTTGGGAGGCAGAGGCAGGTGGATCTCTGTGAGTTCGAGGCCAGCCTGGCCTACAGAGTGAGTTCCAGGATGGCCTCCAAAGCCACAGAGAAACCCTGTCTCGGAAAAAAACAAAACAAAAAAAAAAAAAAAAAAAAAAAACCCACTCAACTCAGGGCTGGAGAGATGGCTTATCCAGAGGACCAGAGCTCAACTCCCAGTACCCACATGGTGGCTTACAACCATCTATAATAATGAGACATAGTGCCTGCTTCTGGCATGCAAACAGAACACTGTATACGTGCATAATATAAATATAAATAACTCTTAACTCTTTGACCACTAATCCAAAACCAGGCCAAGTCCACAGCGGGTGGCTGGGCACTGCCTGGGGACCCTGGTTCAATTCTCAGAACTGAATACCCCTATGGTGCCTAGAACATTTTGTTCAGTTGCAAAGTGGAAGGGACTCAGAATACTCAGGCCTCTGTGGTGGCACATAGCACCTTCACAGGACACACTGATGGTTGCTGAACACTGGCATGAGGACACATTCACTAGTCAATCCAACATGAATTGTAAGCCTCCAACGGTCAGAGCCATTCAGCGATTACACTTATTTTTTGGGGGGGCCCCTCTGGAACAAATGCTGGGTGAACACTTGCCCACCCCAACGCCTTGTTTGAGCCACCTCCCACCTGAGAAGCAGAGGCTGGAACTTTCCTGGAACTTCCTCTCACTTTGCCAGAAAGCAATGTACAGAAAACCCACTAGTGCCTCCTGGGCCAAATTCATTCCTGTCTTCATCACACTGAAGACAACTCCCAAGTACCTCTAGAGGCGGCCAGCACAGTTCTGCCCAAGGAGACACCTTCCCAACGAAGCAGGCTGCCACCTCCTCTAGGCTTATCTGACAGTGCCACCCACAGATCTGGTATGCCTGAGTCCAGTCAGGCAAGTGTAACACAAGTATGCAGGGTCTCACTAGGCCTCCAGGCTATCTAGGCTAGTGCTTCAAAAAAAGCTTCTGTTCTAACAACCAGTGAGCATGGGTGGGCATGGAAGTCAGAGGTCAACTTTTGGGGGCCAGATGTTTCTTTCCATTACATGGGTCTGAGGATCAACCAGTCCCTCAGACTTAGCAGCAGCACGTTTAGCAGAGAGCTACTTCATCAGCCTTGGTTGGGCTGTTTGTTTTTAATTTTTTAACTTTTGAGATAAGGTTTCTTCCAGAACTAGCTCTGTAGACCAGGCTGGCCTCAAACTCACAGAGATCTACCTGCCTCCGCCTCCCAAGTGCCCGGCACCCTTGGTTGTTTTTAATCAGAGTTTCAAACAACCCTGCCTCCATGGAATTGGCCACCCTCTTGAGTGCTGAGGAAAAGTTGTCTTCTAGAAGCTGCTGTCCAGCTTAAGGCCCCAACATCATGTATGAGGGCACTTGTAGCTTGAGTGTGGGGCAGGAGGAGCCCCAGGACTCAGGTCAGCAGCCCAGCCAAACCACTAAGGTGAACCCAATTTCAAAGGCAAAGTAGATGGGCTGGAGAGAGAGCTCACTAGTTAAAAACAGGACAGGCTGCAGCTCCCAGTGTGCACATGCACACTCACAAGCACCGGGCTCCAGTTCTAGGGGATCTGAGACTTGCCTCTGACCTCTGTGGACACTGCACACACGTGGTGCACTCAACACACACAAATAAAACAAACTTAAAGCAGACAAAAACCAAGGCGGGCAATGAGACTCCAAGGCAAACACACACACACACACACACACACACACACACACACACACACACACACACACACACGGTACAAAATCATCAGAAATGCTATGGATTCCTCTGTATTTCCTCAGCAACCACCCTTTGCAGCCTGACCTCAGTGTGCCTCAGATAAACAGACTGTGGACGGCGGTGAGAAGTTACCTGTGGCGTCTTTCAAAAGCACAAGCTAGTGCCAGGGCCAGGGCTTGTGGTAGAGCATACATTTTGCAAGTCAGAGGGCAGGTCCCAGCACCTACCAGCCTCATGAAGTGTCTGCACCACGCATTTCTCGTCGTTGGCCCCTGCCCTGCTCTCCCTCCTGCACCTCTGACACTGGCCACCTGTCCACCGGGAGTAGCCAGCCTGTGTGTATGTGTTTGGGGGACCAGCAGCCCCCGACACCTGATCCCCAGGCCCAGAGGCAAGACAGGCGGGTACCTTTGGCGCTTCTTTTTACGGCCTTCTTGCTTGCAGCTGCCCAGCTGATGCCCGTCTCCTGCTCTTGTCCTTCCTCCTTAACTGCCTGATGGGAGAGAGAGTGGATTTTTAAACAAAGTTACTTATTAAGAGGGCCTGGTACAAGCTGTTCTATCAAAGTAGCAACCTCGAAGTTAAGGAAGGCAAAGCCCTTTGTGCAGACAGCAAGTGTTCATGATCTGGGCTTCAGGCCTCCCCCAGCACAGTGGGCTCCCCTTTCATGCCCAAGGCCAAAAATCCAGAGACAGGGAGGCTGAAAGCCCGGGCTTCAAATCAGGGTCAGCAGGTGTGGTCACGCACTAGACTGACGGCGCGTGGCCCTGGGTATGACAATCCCCAGCACGGACGAAAAGAAATAAAATCCAAGTGTCACCCCCAAGCCAGTGTTGGTGACCATTCTCAAAATGACTGCGCATCTTATGCTCCCCTGCCCTTTCATCAAGCCCAGGGACGCCGGCAAACGGCCGAGGGGGTGCGACAGGCTATTACCACCAGCCCGCCGTGACGTGCACACCTGTAACTACAACACTGGGAGGTGGGGGCAGGAGGATCAGGAGCTCAGGGCTAGCCTGGGCTACACAGCAAGTTTGGGTCAGCCTGGGCTAAGGGAGATCACCAAAATAAAGGAGAAGGGGCAGCAGGGAGAAATGTCATTGACTTTTGATGAGGAAAAACATAACGTGGGCCGGGGAAGGAAGCAAGCTGGTGAATTTTCTCTCAAAGCATGCTGGCGCCTTCCACCGGCAGCCAATCACAAGTCCCTAACCCTCAAGGACCCCACTCCACAGCCAAGTTTGTGTCGAGTGCTCAAGTGCGCGCAGCGAGTCAGAGAGGGGCGGACGGGTGACATCTCACGCTGACCAAGACGACAACCAGGTCGGAGGCCGGGGAAACGCAAGGGGACCAGAACTGAGGGTGGGCACGGTCTGTGCGGGACCAGAACTGAGGACGCCCGAAGTGGCAGCAGGGAAGGGAGCTGCGGACAGATGCCAGGGCACGCAGACCTGCCCAAGCGCACTGTGACGCTTCCTCTCCAAGCCCTGGCTCCGTGCAATCCGCGGGGCGAGGGGAAGCGGGACCCGGAGTGGGGCAGAGACTGGCCAAGGTCACACAGCCTCGGCTCCTCGGTGGCTGACAGTTCGCACCGATTCGGAGGCTCGGCCCGGGATGCCCGGGTCCCCGGCGCCGACACGGACTCGCGCTCACCTTCTTGAGCCGCTCCATCAGCACGCTCTTGTTGCCGCCCGTATCCAGGTTCCGCTTCTTCAGCTCCGCCCGCAGGTCGATCACCCGCAGGTCGCTGAGCCGCCGCGTTCCGGTTTCTGAGGCGACGGGACCAGAGCCGGGGTCGCCCGACCCGGTCACAGGTTCCGCCATCCTCGCTTCCGCGACCTCGCCGCCCGCACAGAAACCTCATGCACACACACAGCCCACAGCCGGAGGGCTTCGGGCACAAAATGGCGCCGCCTAAGAGGAAAACGCACCCGCTTCCTCCCGCCTCCCTTTGCGGCTGCGCAGGCGCACCGCTCTGACGTAGCCCCGCGGTCCCACGTCCCCGCTTTCGCCAGCCCCGCTCCGCCGATGCGCATGCGCAGCCGGTCTCCAGCGCCGCCTCCTACTTTTTTTCTGAATGCGCATGCGCACCGGGTGGACGACCGGCTTCAGTGGTACGTCGGAGCTTTCCAAGGCTCGCTCGTGCGAATGCGCATGAGCAGCCGGTCGTCAGCGCCGCCCGTCCGCGGGTTTCTTTTTTTTTCCTGCATGCGCATGCGCGCTGCTTTGACGCGCCGCTGCTGTCTCAAATCTGGAATTCTCGCTCTGCTTCGCTGCTGCGCACGCATATCGCAGTGCTTGCGGCGCCTCGGACACCGGCCGTCGTCTCCCCCCACACACACCTCAACGCGCAGGCGCAGCAACTGCAACACGCATGCGTCTCGGCTGGCGGCGGAGGGAGAGTCGCGCCTGCGCCCTGTCCGCCGACGCGCTCCCGGCGCTTGTGCAGAGGCGTCTGAGCGCGTCGGTCTCGCGCCCGGCGCGCCTGCGCAGTGACGAGGTGCGCCTCAGGGGAGGCTGGAGCGGTTCCCTCTCAGGCGGCGCCATTTTGTGGTAAGAGAGCCGAGATTCAAAACATAATAATAATAAATCCAAAAAAACACACGCACGCGAGCCCACCGACCCGGTTCTGTGTGAAGTGGGCGACGGAACCAGGGTCCCTGGAATGGCGGAGACTCTGTCGGGTTTAGGAGACGCGGGTGCGGCGGGCGCGGCGGCCGTGAGCTCCGCGGCGTCAGAGACCGAGACGCGGCGGCTCAGCGACCTGCGGGTGATCGACCTGCGGGCGGAGCTGAAGAAGCGCAACCTCGACTCGAGCGGCAACAAGAGCGTGCTGATGGAGCGGCTCAAGAAGGTGAGCTTCGCCGAGGGCCCTGCGGTCGCCATGGCGACGCCCACCGCCGGGGCCGGGGCCGGGGCCGGGGCGGCCCGCGGCCTCCGCGCCTCGCGCTTCCGCCCCGGGGACGCGTTCGAGCCCCAAGGCCGCAGCGAGGCGGCCAGGAGGAAGTGACACCGCGGGCGCGGAGCCGGGCACCGGGGACGTCGCTCCCCCAAAGGGGGACGGAGGGGACTCGGCCAAGGTCACCCAGCACGGGCGGCTTGCGGCACGACTCGAACCCGGCTCCCCTTGCAGCCCTCGAGGCGGACCGGGTTTGGGGGCGTTTGCGTTTTGGTTTTGTTTCCTGGAAGACACACAGTGACCCGCGGGGGTACGACACTTCAGGGACCCTCGGGGAACCGGGGGTGGCCGAGGCGGTGAAGTCTTGGAGGGAAGAACGTTGTGTTAGTGGTGAGGCAAGTCAGACGTGAGTGAAAGGCCAGGCCAGGAGTTCAAAGCTAACCCGAGCAGCGCAGGGCTCAGGACTAGGCAGAGGGTGGCCCAGGCCAGCTCGGCCCGCGGGGCTGGTGAGAGGCAGGCTTGGGCAGCTTAGCTAGTGTTCTCGTGAAAAGTACGGGGCTTGTCTTGGCCATACCGAGTCCTGGGTTCTACTCCCAGTGCCCCCTGAGGCGGGGAGTGGCGGTGCGCCCCGGCAGGAGGATCAGAAGTTTGAGAGACCCCGTCTCAGAGAAAATGCTTTCTCTCTAAGAAGAGGGCCATCGGAGCCACCTGCTCCATAGACAGCGCGCACACTCGGATGCGGTCAGGCTGCAGTCAGAGGACGCCTGGGATTGTGTCCCAGAGGCGGGCGGAGGGGCCTCTACTGCCCACTTCGGCAGTCTCGGTCTTCCCAGGCCTCCCTTCGGGACAAGGTAGCGGTTCACCTGTAGGGTAGGGCAGGGGTCATGTGGACACGGGCTTGGCGTGCAACCTGGTGCACGAAAGCAAACTCCGTCCCCTTGGGCCACCTTTTGTTACTTGTAGATTGGGACTCCATCCCCACCTTGGAAACATAGTTGTTGTGTGTCCCCTGAGCTTTTGGACATGGTCTCCTGCCCGTGCACCCCTGCACACGGAAGCCGGAGATTGATTCCGCCCTCCTGGATCTGAGGCTGCTCAGAGAAGCTGACAGGGAAAGTAGGAGGAGGCAGCGTTGTGACGACCTGAGTTCTGTCCCCAGCATCCGCAGGAAAGGCCAAGTGGGGTACCAGTCAGAAGCCAGTGCTCAGAGAGACAGGAGAACCTTTGAGGCTCCCTGCTGTTCTGGCCATGTCTGTAAGACACAGTAGATGATGCCCTGAGGACAGCTGAGTTGGCCTCCTGGCCTCTGGCCCACCGACATGCATAGTGCATGTGGGCGGAGACCAGGGTGGGCACTCCCCACTGAGCCCAGTCACTAACTTCCGTTCTCTGTGGACACTGAATCTTCACTGGTATAATAAGCAAGAAGCTGCCTCACTGCTGTCATCTGCAGGATGTGCAGGGTGCGGGAGGGGTGGTCAGGGTGATGCCAGCCTGCCAGGGAGGCACACAGCGGCCTTGGCAGCTCCAGGCTAATGGCGAGTGAGCTTCTGGACACTGCCCTTGTGGTCCACGGTCTGTGCTTGTCTCCACTCACCCTGTTTGTCAGGTCTGCGGTCCTGTCCTGCCTCTTGTCACCCAGCTGGTTGCTGTCTCCTGTTGTTTTTAACAGGGGCAGAGGAGCAGCTGGTAGAGGGATTTGCTGAGGTGGCCTGGGAGGGGCAGCCCTGTCACACCACCCCCAAGGGATGAAATGAGACACCTTCCTGTAACTTGTTCCTCACCCTGGGGATGTTTGAAAGCCAGCTGTCCCCAGAGAGAGGGCAGGGCTGCTGATGGCACTTGTCTCTGGTCCCAGGGATGTGCCCCTGCTGGCTTACCTCTGTGCCCTTCTGCACCACAGGAGGCCCTGCCCAGGAGGTCTGGGGACAGCAACTTTGAGACACCCCCAGGATAAGGGGCCTCCTGCATGAAAGTGTCTCATTTCACTCCCTGGAGGCAGTGTTGACATGGCTGTGCAGGGAGAGAGAGGACTCAGAGTCCCAAGTGATTATAGTTGACACAGTTGACACTGATATGTGTGACATCCTTGGTGCCCGGCTGTGCTGGGCCACTGATGAGCAAGTGACATCCTTGGGTGTGAAATGAGTCTTTCCACTACAAGTCCCAGGATGGGATAGCAAGGTCTGAGGCCTTGACACAGCCAGTAGGTCAGTGTGCCTTGAGGACAGTCTCATAGTCTGGAAGGGGCCATTAGGGTTAAGCCAATGGAGTATCCTCCCTCAGGGACACATGAGATGTAGCAGCCTACATCTCTAAACACTTGCCTCACAGCAGTACTGGCCATTGTTGTTAGGGGCCATGAGTGCTACCTGGGGAAGAGCACTCACAGCACAGGCTTGAGGACCCAAGTTCAAATCCCCAGTACCCTGGTAGAAAGTACGTGTGACAGACACCAGGAGCTTCCTGGCTGCTAGCCTAGTCTCTGTTCAGTGGAGAGCCCTGTTGAGGGACCAGGGTGAAGAAGGGGAGCACCCACACAGGAAAAACTGAGAAAAGTGGAGCAGAGCTTCAGTCCTTTAGAAAAGCCACCAGGTGATGGTGCCAGAACCCTCACTTCATGTATAGCAGGGTGGCTGTCTGTGGGGTCAGGGTGTCCTTTGTGGTTGGCATGGAGCTGGGAACTCCCTGTGTTGCATAGGCTGCTCAAACTGCAGGCTTGGGTGAGCCTCCTGACTCTTCCTTGAGCAATGGGGGCAGTTGCTGTTTTATTAGTTGGCTTTTCTCCTGCTGTCCCCTCAGGCCATTGAAGATGAAGGCGGGAATCCTGATGAAATCGAAGTCACTGCTGAAGGCAACAAGAAGATGCCTAAGAGGCCCAGCAAAGGTATAGATCCTCTGGGCCACTATGTCAATGCTATGGGTGCCCTGTGGCGCAGAAACTTAGGGGAGCCTTGCCCGCTGTCCTGCCACACAGGACCTGAGCGTGTAATGGGAATGAACTAAGTATGGTTCATGCAGAGAGCCTCACCTGCCAGAAAATAAAGCCCCTGTAACACTAGACCAGCAGCAGACACAGTTTGTTCAAAACCACCAGAGGGGAGCTGAGACAGCAGGCTCCCATCTGACAGCCCCAGCCCAGCCTCTGCTCTTGGCTGCTATCTCCAGCCTATGGGTACTCCTCCCCAGTCACCTCCTTCATCGTGCTGTCTGTCCTTGTCATCTTTCTGAAACTCAAGTTCCAGGAACTTGACTGACAGTCAGGTAGGTTGAGGCTACTGGGGACCATGTGTTGGTCACTGTGAGGTTGAACTCCTAGCTGGTGGGGAGAGTGGGGTGCACAGAAGCAGACATGCTTTGCATGTGGGTGTGCCGGGGAGCTGCTGGCCTCACTGTGTCCTGAGCTCTGCTTTAGCCTCCTTGCGGGAAATGACTTAAGATGACCCTGCTGGAGAGTGTGCGTGCCCAGGAGTCTCCTCTTTTACTTGCTTTCTGCTTCTTTAGTAGACACGGATGCTTATTCTAATGTTTTGCTGGATGCCTGGGCTTAAGTGCAAACTTGACAGTCCTTCCCAGCTGGAGCCAACACAGTAGGGCTGTGTGTGCCTTCCTATGTGTCTGGTAAAGGGACGCCAGTACAGAGTGTAATGGCTTGTGCACATGGTGGAGAAGGAGTTCTGAGTTCAAGGTCAGCCTGGTCTACACAGCTGGTTTTAGCCCAGACCTCTATGATAAGACCCTGTCTCAAAACAGAACAGTTGGCCGTGGCCTCAGCCTTGGTGCAGTGAGGGACAGCACGGCTGCACAAGTGTGAGGGCAGTTAGAGGCCTCGGTGCTCACAGGAAGGGTGTTCATCAACTTAGGACAGGGTCGGGAGCAAACCTCATAGTGGGAGGTGGCATTGCCAGTGAGGGCCGCACTGGAAGCTGCTGCCTGGGGAGTGAGAGCACTCTGCACAGACAGTTCAGATTGTAGCATATGTTTTTCAAGCTGCTGGAGAGATGGCTCAGCAGTTAAAGCCACTGGAGAGGGACAGGAGAGACCACTTAATGGTTAGAGCACTTGAAG